CGAAGGAGGTACTAACCTTCCGCCTTTAACAGGTCCTGGTGCAAATTCTATAGACGTTTGCATTAACCTTCCACCTGTAACAGGTCCTAGTGAGAGGATTAATGATCCTAACAAAGTGTCCTTAGCAAATATTCATTATGATGTGTATGTACCATATTTTAGAAATATATTACTTTAAAAAAAATATAATATATTGCCTTTCACATATGTATTTTTCATATTCTTTTTGCACATATCTGTTTACTCATTTTTTTATACATATTTTTCACACATATATTTTAACATAATAGCTGGTAATTTATATACAAATACTAAGCAGCGTATAAAAATTCAAAAAATTCGAAATTTCATCCGTATGCTTTTTTGTTGGTGCATTTTTGTGAGTTATTTACATAACGGAGAATATATGTATTATTTGTTATATTTAATGACCTTTAGGGGATTTGACCCAGACGCAGCTGTGAATTATTTTCAGGGTTGTAATCTTTGGGATCATGGGATTATATAATCTTTTGGGATTATGATCTTTTTGGGATTATAATTCTTTGAGATTATGACCTTTCGAGATTATGATCCTTCGGGATTATGATCTTTTTGGGATTGACCTTTTCGGAATTATGATCTTTCGGGGTTATAATCTTTCGGAATTTTATCTTTCAGGATTATGACTTTTCGGGATTTTCTTTTTCAAGATTTAGTTTATTCTTCGGGATTCTGTTCTTTCAGGAGTTGGTTCATCGGGATCTAGTACCATCGGGATTTCGATCTTCGGGATACGTATTAACCCAAAATCAATTTTAAACTTTTAAATTACAATTTATCTTAATTCTCAACTTTTATTCATTATAAACTTCACACTTCTCGTTTTTTTTTGCATGATTGAATTCAAAATCTGTAAAAATCTATAGTAATTCCGAAATGGTAATGCGATTCACTTTTTCTATTTCCTTTAAACTAACATTTGTAAGCGGAATTTTAATACTGCAATTTAATTCTTTGAGTATTATACTATATTTTGTTTATCCTTAATTGTATACTCATTGATCATATCTTTTTTAAAAATGAGCGCAAACCGCTTATGATTGACCAAATTCCAACCGTCTTATTGGGCTTTTTCCATTCTTCTGGAAACCTTTCATACTTCAAAAATACTTCTAATTTTTCAATATCGATCTCAAAATTTGTATTAACGCCAATAAAATTTAATAATAAAGAAGATTCTCCTGCTGAAAGAAATTTTTGTTTAGTATTATACAATAAAGTCGGATTAACTTCTTTAGAATTGTTTAATCGGATCCAATGAAGTTTTGTTAATGCTTCCTCGTTAATTTTTCCATCAATATTCTGTTTGAGCAACAAATCAACTAATTCCGGATCGACTGTGTGATTATCACCAAAGTAAAAGTCTTTTCGAGTTAGTGACGCATCATGTTCTATCTTGTTGTGTTGACTTAGATCGTCAAGATTCCTTTTTAAATTAAATAATTAAATTATTAATTAACTAATGTACCAATATCGATATAGCACAAATTATAATTTTTTTACTAAATACATTGTCTTATCGAATAGCTTGTCAAGCAGATGAAAGCCACCGTTAGCTAAAACATTGGCGAGCAGCGGTGATGAGTTAAGACCTTCTTGAAGTCCTTTTACTAATTGACTCGCTGTGATATTGTCTCCGCTACGAGGTCTAATAAGAAAATATAAAGTTTTTATCGAATCAATTTTCTAAAAAAAATGCTTAACGGAAATTAATGGATATAGATTGTATATTCACAGGTATCCATGGTTAGCTAAAGTATTTAATGCGGGGCACGGTGACCTTTTATCGTTCGGGCCAGGTGCTTGCCACTCATGTGTTGACAGTCCGTGCCTTTTTATGCTATGAAGAAAGCGAAATGAATTCATCAGATTATTATTTTAACGCCTTAAAACAACTCTTTTAAAATTGTGAAACAAGTTTGCCATTTTTGGTTTTTTTTGCTTTTGAGCGAAAAAAGTCAATCGAACGTATCACAAATTTGAAAGCGTTTGGTCTTATCATATATAGTAGTCTTATATGCAATTGTTCTTACACTTGCATTTGCAATTGCAATTGCTATTGTTCTTGCAATTGTTCTGTAATAACCGAAATGAAAAAAAAAACAAGAATTAGTGAATGTATTAACAAATATTAAAAAACCATATCTATATTATTTACAATAGATTTAAATGAT